CGACTTCGGAATGAACTCTCTACTTCCTCTTGAGGCGCAGTATTTATTACGTATGGAAGAGTCCATTATGTTATTATGGGTAAGGTCCCATAAAAGATTCATTGCTCGATTAGGCAGTACTACTTTCAGTAGAAATCTATGAAATCTATTTCTTAAATCATTTTTTCAGTAGAATAGGTTCTCAAAATGATAGGCCGTTTCCTTCCTAACGTTTTGTTTGTAGTAGTGAGGAATGTCAACATCTCGATTATGACTTTTGATATTAATTTTAGTTGTTATTCGCTTTGAAAGTCCTCAACTGATGTGGTTTGTGTTAGATTATTTTGTGATTCTTTAGTATAAGTTCACAAGTTTCAAAGAAGTGAGGTGAGTAGGGTGTGTCGCCAGAAAAATCTACGCCTTAAGTGTATATCGCATCATGTGAAAACACCTACTCAGCAAGTAGTTTTGATTTCATTATCAACATTTTTATGTTGTAATTAGAAACTGTCTCTGATATTGGTTACTCTTTATCTATCTATCTATCTAGCTAGCGAGCTAGCTAGCTAGCTATCTAAGCCAAATTCATAATCATATATATTTGTGTGTTCAATTTTTTTTATCCGTCATTATTTCTTATTAATATAGACTTATATATTATTGGGTAAAGTGATAGAAAATCTACTACGGGAACACATTCTAAATAACTTTCATAATAATAACTGCATATATATATATATATATATATATATATATATATATATTAATCAGTGCATGAATTATATAAATATAACATATATATATTTATGTACAGAAGCACTACGTGTAAATTTATGCATATATATGTATTGCATAAAATTATATATATATATATATATACATAAAAGTGAACATTGAAGTCAGCACTTACACACGACGCTCTATCTCTGATATTGAGCACTTTATCCCATAAATATAGCACACAGTAAGACTATGTTGCCTCATGTATATATATATATATATATATATATATATATAGTGTAGCCTGGATATAAGAGACCCGGATATAAGAGAAACCCGGATATAAGAGAGAGTTTATCTGGTCCCAAATTAGAGCCTGTGTTAATGTATATAAAATAGACCAAACCCGGATATAAGAGAAACCCGGATATAAGAGATTTCTTCTCCGGTCCCGACAACTCTCTTATATCCGGGTTACACTATATATATATATATATATATATATATATATATATATATTGAAACCAATAAGCGTGGATATGTGCATTTCTTTCTTTCATATTTTCTTAGATATGCGATGGAATATCTGTATCTTTTCCTTCAGTTTCCAAAATATAATATGCTGACTGATTAAATGTGATGTTTTCCTCGACACAAACGAGTTGCTTTGTTCTTATCTTTTAAGAATTTTTGCAAATATTTCAAACAATTTGTATGCGAATGAAAAACTGACTCCTAATGCGAAAAGTCATACATTCTTCACTAATCCACGACATGACACTTTTCAGACACATATATGCAGATAAACAGATTTAAAAGGTCACACTGTTTTCCACACCGAGTGGTGACAGACTGTCAAATGCTTGAACGCAATCTTTGGGCCTAAAAATTGCGGTCCAGTTTGAAACATTGTGTCACTGTCCCGTGTTAAGATCAGTGTACATATTTAACTCTTTATATCTACATACGCTCGATCTCTGATATTTATCACATTTACCCATAAATATAGCATGCCTCAAAATTATATCTATCTATCTATCTATCTATCTATATATATATATATATATATATATATAGATATTTTATTCTATATATATATATATATATATATATGTGTGTGTGTGTGTGTGTGTGCGTGCGTGTCTGTGTGTGTGCATTTATTAATCATTTCACCCCTGGTAAGGCAATAAATAAAAAGCCGAATGAGAGTTTCACAAGTGACAAGTGCGATAGAAAAAACAGCATAGCCATTTCAACTGCAAAATAATGAAACCTTGCCGCCAATTTAGTATTGTGTCAAAATTTGTAATGATTATAAATACCATGAAAGTATTTTCAGTAAAGACACGGGAAAGATTGGTTACGGCGGTGGGAAAGAGACTGAAGCAGAGATGCCAGGTCAGTACCAATAACATTGAAGTTTCTGCTTGTATTTTATCAAGGATCTCTAAATATATAGCAGGATCACCAAACCAGATTTGGCAGCAATATTCAAAGTGAGGGCGAAATATATATATTTAAGATAGATACTGGCGAGAAAAATTTCTAGCACAACCAACCAACTTCCTTAGCTGCAGAATTATTATTTGAATCAATACATTCTTTCCACTACTCGTCAGCTGAAAATGTTAGGCCGAGAAGGTGCAATGTCTTTCTCCTGGAGATTAGCATCAGCCATGTTGATGGGAAGTAAAATGGGTTCTCTCAAACGATTAAAAGAGAACAGTTTCGTTTTTGATGCGTTAAAATTAACAAGCCATTCCTTGCCCTATTTAACAAGAGATTGTAGTTCATTTTTTAGATCGGCTGCCAATTTGGCGTTATCAAACCGATACTATTAAGACATAAATAAATAGTTGGTCCTTAGCTCATATACAGACTTGAGAAGTACAGATATGAAGAAGGTCATTCAGGAAAATTTGGAGCAAGGTAGTTTCAAGCATAGAGAATGGAGAACAATTGCATTTATGCAAAAAGATCTAGACGATTGGTCATTCAAGATAACATTCATTTCACGATTTGATAAGAAAGACTGAATCAGTTGAAGCATTTGACCAGAAATATCATAACATTTCAACTTGGAAAGAAGACCAGCATGCTAAATCCTGTGAAATGTCTTCGACATATCCAAAGCAAAAAATCGAGTTTCAATATTCTTATCTAATGATTAATACACTCTTTCAGCAATAACGGATAAAGTATCAACTGTTGCCATGAGAAGATTGTAGTTCCACCTGATATTTGCGAGAAGGTAAAAATAGCTTCACTGCCAGCTTTAAGCGAAGAAGTAATCTCTGTGGCACAATTCTCAATTGGAAGGTTAAGAATATCAATCCAAATGGCATCTCTAAGAAAGTCACAAATAAATCCCAATCAGTATGCTGGTAACAGAAAAAAGTCTTGTGAATAGAAGTTTCTTTTCTAATAGATGACTCAGATATATCAATAGATGTTACAGCGTGATCCAAATTTCCAAGAGAATAGAATTGTGAGGCTCTACAAGAGCTAAGAGAGGAGGTAAGGAACAAATCAAGTAAAGAAGAATGTTGAATAGATTTTTGGGAAACAAATAAGGAAAACCACAATTTGACTGAGAAAATGAGCAATGGAAAAATTGAAAGTCTCGGTATTAGTAACATTAGAATGCTTAAGCAACTTGATGAGCATTAAAATCACCAAACACAAAAATATTCGTAGATGGATGTAGAGAAAGATCCATTTCTCTATTATCAAAAATGTTGTCTAATATATTACAGTCCTGGGAAGAAGTAAAGCGGTAAAGCAAAAAAACGATAGCTAACATACAATAACAAAAGTTGAAAACACATGAAAGTATCAACGGGGGACTCAAGAGATAATTCCCTTGCAATTGGGAGATTTTCCTGAATATAAACAGAGAGGTCATGCACATGTACGCTAGAACCTTTTCAGTAAATAGGAAGATAGCCTGGAACAGAGAATTCATTATTAGCAATAGAAGAATTTAGTTTAACAAAGTTTGAATACATCTGGAGAACGTTTCAAGAGAACAGTTTCAATACTATAGAAATTAGATCGAAAGTCTAATTTCATGTCAGATAATCTTTTTCAGAATTTTTAATTCTAAACTTCAATTTGGAACAGCGAAATGTTATAGTTGACAGTTGTTTAATTTGGCTGATCTTTCAACCTGAACCTTCCCTTACATCTACGTTATTCCATCTTTCGGCATTAGCAGCTCCCCTGTCTTCTGAAAGCACTTTCTGCATTGATTTTGGTCAGTATTGATATTATAAATGGCCTTAGCTACGCAGCCAGAAAAAAAAGAAGCATTTTATAGTATTAAACAATACAACACACGTGATGTGTATTGGTTATTTTATTTTCCCCAATAAAGATATTTTGCCGAATAATTTCCAGTGACGGAGTGGGATAAGTGAGTGAGAAAATCATCGAAATCTTAGCATTTTCAGACCACCGTGGTTTTACGAGGCGAAAATTCTCACTGAAATATCTGGGAGTGGGAAAACTCAGCGACAGTCCTCATCGATTATATACGGTCAGAGTTGATTATGTCATGCACATACTGCACGAGCTTGGTCCAATATATGACGTCTGGCCGTTTAGAATGTCTTTTTCTCTTGGAAAAAAAAAAAAAAAAAAAAAAAAAAAATGCGGCCCATCCTCTAACTCGTTCTTGAAGAGAAAACAAGGAATCTGACTCAATTAAAGGAGCTATCATCAAACTTTTGAAATTGGCGGTTAATACTTCTCTATCAGGTTGGAAGCTGCCATATTAATTCTAAGGATAGGTCTGGAAGCGAAATGAGAATCTTCAAATGTTACGATTTTCACGTAATTTCTCGGAAGAACGACTTTCATTTATAGTCCACTAAATGTGAGTTCGCAAATAATTTATACAGGCATAAGTTTTTACCAATGAATTGTTTCAAGCTGAAATTTATAACATATCCAGATACTAAGGAATTCTGTCCAAATTTTCATTTTTAGTATTCTTTTATTTGAATGGCAAAGTAAACTTTTTCTGATAGAAGAGTAAAGAAAATCTAGATTTTCATACATATCTTCTTTATGCTTAACAGAATTTTTTGTTTCATTGCTTTCAAATATTTGGAAGTCCGATTAGAAAATTAACCGTGAAACGAGAAATTGTAATTCGAAGACGAACAATGAATTTGTTATTGAAGCAGTTTATATATATATATATATATATATATATATATATATATATATATATATATATATATATATATTTAGAATGAATAAAAATCGATACATAAAAGGAAAGAAATAGAATAGGATCAGAAAGTAGAAGTTAATAAGAAACGAAAGTAGTTGAGGTGAGGATAAAGGTGTGATAAGAAAGAAAGAAATTTCGAGGTAATTACGAAACAGATAAGCAATTTAAAAGAATCAGACATAAGGCAGCGATTTGAGTCAAAGAGGAAGGGGAAATAAAAAGCGGAAAAATGAATAAAATTATTGTTAGAGGGAAGGGAAGAAAGACAGAGGAAAGGAAAAAGAGAGATGTAAGTAAATGCATTGTATTGTTCTTCATTTTCAACTATGATCAGCAATGAGTGTTCAAGCTCAGGCAAAAAAAAAAAAAAAATCTGGAATCCTGATTCTCAAGGCGGATAATTTTGTTCCACTAAGAAGCAAAACGATCTGTCTGCTCTATTTTTGCCTGGCAGTGTACTAAGAAATCAGATATACAAACAGGCAAAAGAAATTTAACAGAAAAGCATAATAATAAAATACATACTCCAAACGAACGAAAGACATACTTGGAAGAGTAAAAAAAATATAAGCCAAAATCAGAAGCAATATTGTGAGAGAAAAATAAAGAAAAAAGATGCAGACAAATGTAAAAGTTCTCATGAAAAACCTTCTAGACTAAAAGGTAGGAATGAAAGCAATGAGAGAAAAGAAAAAGAAAAGAGAAACTAAATGAGAACAAGAACTTAATGAAGATGGAAGTCAATCAAGAATATTGCAAAAGAACCAAATTATCAAACAAGACTAAGATCACAGAGAAATAAAGCACATGCAAGACATGTTTAAAGAATTCAAGATGAATTATATAAACAAGGTAAATGATAAGAAATAAAAAGCCCACAGGAAAGAAATAATAATGAAGTTCTTCAGGATGCTGATGGCTCGTTTTTAGTATTTAATTTATTATATCTTTTTTTATTATTTTCACAACCTTTCCCCAGACGCAGGTCTCAATTTGACACCAGGAAAGATTGTTATTTCTTCGGAAAAACGCTCGCAATTATTTGCCAGATATTCACTGGTTATCTCGCTTCCGTATACATTATATAATCTTAAGTGTTTTGCTTTTGATTTTCTCGGTGCTCTTTTGCAAACAAATCAGGAAAAAATCAGGATAACATAGATTTCGCTGGTAGTTGTTCTGGTTACAAAGTCTAAATCCGTACTAATCTTCGTTATGTGAACAAACGGGCCACCATTTCTCGCCTTTCGCCTGTCAGGATAAAAAAAGTCCATAATGGAAAAAATCACCAGTAAGATGAAATGAATGAAATCTCACGAGATTCTAATCTGATGCATATTTGCTTCTTGTTCTATTTTTATGAATTATTCATGTGTAATATTTGTTTTCATTTCTCAGCAAATAAATCAAACTTTTCTACTTAACTGCGTCAAGATTTTTCTTCGAAAAGCATTAAAAGTTTATTATTTTTCATCCAAACCACCACTCTATTACACAGAATTACAAATAAAAATTTTTCGTTGAAGTACTTGAAAGAGTGAAAAAAATAATTCCGGGAGGAATCTTTGGCGCTTATCAAGTTGTATTTTAAAAACTCCGAAAAATCACAGGATTTAATTTAAAATTTCCATCATATTTTTCAAAATTCATTTGTTTTTAAACCCTTATAAATAAATAACCCGCAAAAACAAAATTTAAATATATTAACTATGCTATCATACAATCATTAATTGTCTTTTATATATATATATATATATATATATATATATATATATATATATATATATATATATATATATATATATATATATTGACATTATGTTTATACATTGTTTTATATATACAAATATTTAAGGAAATGCTCTGTTTATAATAAACAGTATAAACAAGATTTACCGAACTGAATGTACGAGGAATTTTCATAGAAAATATGTGTCCTCCGACAGGAATCGAACCTTTATTCTATACGGAACTGTCCTTTAGCCTGACATGCCATAACCGATTAGGCCACAGAGGAACGTTCGCTTAGCCAGGTCGATTTTACTGCCTTTAAACACAATTCTCTCATGGTTTTCTCTCATTCAATGTAACCGAACGCTCCTCTGTGGCCCAATCGGTTAAGGCCCGTCAGGCTATATGATGGTTCCTTATAGGATACAGGTTCGATTCCTGTCGGAGGACGCATATTTTCTATGAAAATTTCTCGGACATTATAAACGTAAATGTTGTTAATACTATTTATTATAAACAGTGCATTTACTTAAATATTTGTATCTATAAAAAGAACGTATAAACATAAAAAAAATGTCTTAAATAATTGTCGGACTTTGTCCATTTTATAATATATATATATATATATATATATATATATATATATAAGTTCTCTAACAGTAGATATTTATCAACCACTATTGAACATTTGATCTCAGAATCCTAAGTCATATTCTTTGTCTTATGATTTCATGTTCAGTGATTGTCCAACCAGAATGTCAACAGCACTTTGACTTCTATGTAGACAGTAAGTAAACTACCGAAAGAGTTTGTATATATGATTGGAGGAGCAAAGAAGAGATAGTAAAAAGCAATCAATGCTAAATGCTACAAAGTACAGGAAGTTTTCCTTCGGACAAAGGTCAAAATGATTACTCACGTCCGAAAGGCAAATAACAAAAGAAGAGGATGATGATTATTATGATCATGATTATGATGATGGTGATTATTAATCGTTATCCAAAATTTATTTCAAGTCTGGCGAATAACTATTCGAAAAAAATAAAAGTACAAGTAAATTATTAAAATACAACTGAATTATTTAAAAATACAAATATTGCTTCAGCAAAGCTCATAATAACATCGTCCTTTTACCTTCGCTATCATCAATTCTGTTTCAAAATGAACATGTTTTTATTTATGAATTGCCTTTATGGTTGCGAATCTTACAAAATTGTTCGGTCACAGGAATTAAAATAAAATCCCCGACCTTAACTGCCTTTTTCTTTCCATGTGTTTAACAAATCTTTCCGATAATTACAATAGCTTTATCTCATCTGACATTAATTCTTACTTTATTTCCTGACTAATCGTAACATTTTTCTTCATTTTTCTGCATTAAGATTGAATGATGAAAGTTAATAAAGACAAATATTATTTAAATAGATCCTAATGTTTAATTTTTCATAATCACATTCCACTTTTAAGTGCCAAAGTTTTTTTTTTATGCTTTAAGTTCAGTCTAGGAAAGTAAATAACTTTAAGTGTTTATTTTGGTTGGATGAGGCATGTTTGCGATGTTTACAAGGCCAAATATATAATAGCTGATTTTATGCTGAATCCAAAAATCATACTCATTTTCTCTAATCAGATCAAACTTTTGAAATACAAGCTCTTACTTGAAATGTATAGAACAGTATTATAACTCTATTTTCTTGATGAATTAAACAAATTCGCAGAAAGGTAGCATTATGCCATAGTAAACTGAAAACTACACAAAATAGCTATTCATAGATGAAAGGTCTTTTCTGAGATTTCCTCTTGTGCTCGGCAGCCACCGCATCTCATTTCAAGCACCGGCAGTAGTCAGCGAAAAAGCTTACATCCCACCGGCCTTGGTAGCGCTCTTCCATAATGCGAATGTCATGGCGAAAGAGCTCACCCTGCTCTTCATTCAAATCTCCACAGTTCTTTGGAAAATAGTCCAAGTGTGACCACAGTAAGTGAAGGTTGACTGACATTCGTGCCCCGAGTTGGTGGAAACTCTTCAGTCGCTCTTCAATTTCCTACTCGTATTCCGCAACTCTGGTGGTTTCCCAGGAAGTTTGTAACTACTGACTTCAGTGACTTCCAGGCGGACAGTTCAGCTTTGCTCAGTGATTAGTCAAACACAGGACCTTGAAATATACCAACCTCGATTTTCTCCATGCTTATCCGTGGGAACTTCTCCTGGAGGGAAGCAAACCCGCTGTGTTAACTTTTCCATTGCCTTCACAAAGTTCTTCATTACTGCTAACTTGATATGTAAGGGCGGAAGCAGTATTTTGTTCGGTTCAACGAGAGGGCGAGATTAAATGTTATGCGAGTCAGATTTTAACCCTTGTCTTAACGGCCACTCTTGTCTGACATAATTTTGGTCATCGGCCGGGCTGTCTTAGAGACACAGAAAACAAGGATACTTTGTGTAACCACCTTGGAACCCTAAGACCGGTCCAACCACCTTAAGATCTCCACAGATCAACCATTTGTGCTCCTGGTAGTTAACAGGAGACAATAAATGATCCATGCTGTTGTGAGTTTCTTTCATTTGTACTGAATACCCAATAGGGATAGATGAACAAACTATTCCCATTATTTAGAAGAACTGCTTTGAGACTTCTGTTGGATGAGTCAATAAACAGTTTCCATTCCGTAGCATCATACTCTAAACCAACTGATTTGATCAATCCAGCAATGTTGTTGCAATAAACCAATGATGACTTATCCGGGAACATAAAAAAAAAAAAAAAAAAAAAATTAATTTTCTCTCACGGTCTCGATACCAGTAGAATGTTCTTCCTGATGCCAACAGATGTTCCTCTTTAAGACTGAACTCGGCAGCTGAGCAGACCTCTTTGAAAGGTTCAGGTCTTGTGTCAGATTTTTGAGGTCTGCTTCTGTCAAGGGTACTGACTGGTCGTCTGCTTCTGGCTACATCATCTCCAGCTACAACAGTCATGTCACTATGTTCGGAATCAGAGCTATATTCCAGGTTACCATCTCGCTCAGGAACACAGGAACAGGAAGGTCTGGGATATGAATGGTTGGTTTTATGACAGAAGGAACATCGGGGGTATTGGACATGGTGTTTGTCCTTGTGATTTATTCCTTTTAGATTTATCATGCCGAAATAGCAGTCCGTAATGTGATCTTTTCTTTGTGGTCTTCCCTCCAGACCATTGGAATGGCAAATAACGTACTCTTCCTTTTACCGTTCCTCGAATATCTCAAGTTCTCCACACATGTTTTATAGCAAACATGGGGATGAAATGGCTTATCCTGATCCCCTAATTTGACACCAAAGAAATCGAAATAGGTCAGTTCTTCATAAAGTCAGTGATTTTTGCTTGACGGTTAGAAAGAACCACATTACAGAGGATATAACAGAACCTGTCAGGATTATTCTTGCACTTGCGATCCATTCTTATAGGAATACAAATGTCAAACTGAAAAGAGAACAAAATTAGCACTCAGATCGTCGTTTACACTTGACACAGTACATTAAAATCATTGTAAAATGAGGGATAAGACCTGCCTCCTCTAGCGAGTAGGGCTGTGCACTGTAGTTAGGTACACATATGACATTATATGTTCTACTAAAAAATCAGGCACCCACGATCACCTGTGACAAGTAGAGTTCACAGGCTTTTGAATAATTGTTATTATTGTGTACAACTTGTTGTGAAGTATTCAAGCACATCTTAAAAACCAGACCTGACCAAACACAATGAATGGTATTTTCGAATTCAGCATAAAATGGCGATCATATATCACTTGATAAACATTTGACCTTTGGAAAAAAATAACGCAAGCAAGTGTAATTATCCCCACTGAGAAGACAATACTCGACAGCACGCACAAAAATTGGCATCTGCAGTTCATTCAGGCTTTCGATGGTTTTCATGTGATAAAGTCATGCACCCGAAAAAGGAGACAATGAGCTCCCCCATTTTATCGATGTGAGGATACTTAATCCCGGGTATTGCCTTTCAAAGATTTTGCTATCTCTTACCGAGAGGAAATGAGGCGGCGCGCTATGAGGGAGAACATCTATCGTTCCGTGAGAAAGGATTTTCCATATAATCTTCGGTTGAGAGTGAGTGTTCCTGCCGTGAACATCTTCGCACGCCAAGGCACGCCAAACATTGTCACTGTATAGGAACGATGAAACTATCTCAACCGGAAATTATGAATGCTGCTTAGTCATATCCCGTCTAAAATAATATGTTTCATTACCCAAGTAGAAATAAGAAGAAGAAGAAGAAGAAGAAGAAGAAGAAGAAGAAGAAGAAGAAGAAGAAGAAGGAGGAGGATCATCATCTTTGATTTCTGTCAAACGATCAGTAAGTGTAAATGCTGACGAAGCTACGCCAGCATCGGATAATCATGCTTAGGAAGATGATGCTAACGCGGGAAGCACAACTACTTCTGACATGTGACACATCCTACTGATTTGTTAAACTCTAATTGGTCTTCAAATGTTCGGAATGAATGTGTTAAATGAAATCGTTTATATAATTTAGTCTAGGGAATTTTCAGAGGAAAATAAAAGTTTTTTTTACAAATCGACTAAATAATTGATTCGGAGTAAACAGATAAATCTGAACAAAAATAAATAAATGAATGAAAGAAGAAATCAAATTCTGTACTCGACAAAGATTTAAAAATTTGGCCTTTTAGGAAAGTCGAAGCATCAATATATTTTCATAGATTTACAAAATCTGAAACTTTTTCATTTCTAAAGAATATCATCAATTTATTTTCGTTTCTTTTATGAATTACTTTTGGCTTCGTAGTTTGAGTTTGGGGAATTAGTTTCAACATCGAATTTTAAAAATATTCTTTCTCTTCCAGAGTTTCGTCTCCTTTCGACAATATTTTGTGTAAGTGTTTCAAAACGTTGTGATAACAAAAACAAAGATGAGGACAATAGTGTAAACAATGATAAATCCCAGCAATTCAAACGAAAACCCAGGTTAAGTTTTAAGGAAACTAACCTCAGACTTGAGTGATAGGTGAATTTAAGAGAAATAATTTTTATTTGTTTAAATCATGAAATAAGTTCGCGTGGAAAAATGGGGTTTCTATGACATAATGAGAAATCGATTTCTCCTCTTTATTATCCCGTCCTTGTTTTACCTTAGTAAGATGAGGAGCGGAAGAGTGAAGCTGTCCTTTTGGGGGACTACGGGATTGGGCTAGCCATTCGTATATACTTGAGTGTGGAATTCATTCTGAAAATATCCATATATTCAGATGCGCAATGACGGTAAAAATCTGTGGGAGTAGTGGTCATGTTGCAAGGTTCAAATTGGTGCTAGAAAAGAGTATCCAGAAATTGCCAAGGCTGCATCATGGAATTAATGGACTGAGACAAAGATCCTAAAGACCAAATCAGTAATATCCACTTTTTGCACGTGTGATCCAACGAAGAATCAGCCGTAAAAATCCAAAATTTCCCCTGTCATGTAATAATGTTTCACAACAGCAACGACAAAACAGTTGCTTTTCTTAACATGAAAATCTTGTTTACTCCTGCCAAGTGAGTCGATTCGACTATTTTAGTGAAGCTACAATTTGGTGAATTCAAACAAGACATCCATCCTGTGATTCTGTGTGATTACAGATACGGTTTGATATACATCTCGTCTGGGACAACGATGTACTTCTTCATACTTTAATAATCAGAACGTGGAACAGAGACATTATTTACATTATTCGTATTTTTGTCCTCATCTTTGTCGCCATATTTATTACAACATTTCGGCCGTTGTATGCTCCGGCCTTCTTAAGCTTGTTGGAATATCGAACTGAACTCTTTATTTCGCTCACTGGGGTAGACTGTTCTAATTCCACGTTTAATGGATGTCAGTTATCATTTATCTCCTGTTAATTTCCCTCTGAAAGATCTCCACTGCAATGTGGCGACAAACATGAGGACAATAGTCCGAATAATGTAAATAATGTACATAATACCTTATCACAGAAATATAGATAGATAGTGGAACAGAGAATACCACATTTCGAACTGTCTGCCGTAAAAATCCAAACTTGAGCGGACGTGGAGCAGAATGAATTTTTCTATCCGTGACCAAAGATCAAGACATAATACAAATCCCAATATTGACGAAGTTTTCTTGGTTTGGTAGAACTCAAAATGGAAAAAATAACGTAAAGAAAATTAGTTTTTTTCAATCTTCCAAGAAAGGCCTCTATCCGTACAAGCAGTATTCGAACTGACGGAAATTCTAAGTTAATATTAATTTTAAAATGATATATGTCTAAAAATGTTATAGAGATTGTACTCGCTATAGCATTAACAATTAACAATTCAATAATTAATTATCATAGAAAAGAAGATATGTACATTTTTAAAATTGACCCAACACATTCTTTCTAAATTATGGCTGCAGTATGTTCAGATGTCAATACAATTTAATACGTTTCGCTTACTTATAGAGTAATTAAAGGTTATTAAATACTAAAAAGATTAAGCGCTTTAACTTGAGATGATTAAACTTATCATTACCCCAATTTAAAGCGCCTAACATTTTTTGTATTTAATAACATTTAATTACGCTGTAAGCTAAACGTATTAAATTGCAGTGATTTTTAAACACATTACAGCCATCATAATCTTCGAGACTAGCTACATTGTTTCACGTCAAGATGCTCTATTTGAAAATGTTAACTTAGTAGAAAACAAATGTAAACAAGCGTAAAAAACGGGTGAAAAGAACTTATTACATATAAGTGAATTGATCCCTGAGCTGAGATTCGTGATCGCCAGGTATAATTTCTCTATTAATTGCTATAAATTTTCTTTGTTGTAAGATTTGTTTTGGAAGATGATGAAATAAAGTGGAAAAACTTTCGCAGTGAGCGTCTGTTCTCTCTGGCTTTCGTCAGTGATAAGTGATTCAACTTTGAACCGACTGTTCGGTTAAACTCTCTTCCTACGGGCGGGAGGAACCCGGAGGAGGCTACGCCGAAGGGCGGAGTCTCCTTCGGGGAGGTAAAACCGGCCCTGAACCCGTTTATACGGGTTCAAATGGGCTATTTTTGGCCGAGCCTAATGGCTCGGGAATGCCCACGTTAAAAAGGCCTTGTGCCACATGACACCCTTGTGGGGGGGGGGGTGACTGAATATCGTCAGTGATAAGAAAAATATGTTGCGATTTCTGAGGATAAGTGCGGCCCGGAAAACAAATTAAATTATATTATCCTATCACATCCAATGCCCAGACTCAAGAGAGTGGCGCTCCTCCTGATTATTTGCTTGCTGGTTTGTTTTATATGTTCGCTTACGTTCTAATACCTTGAGAAAGGTAAGAATGAATCTCTTCTCTCCCAAGCTATGGGTAACTAGCAAGCGACCCTATAAAGAATGGATGGCGAATAGACTAGAAGAAGGACAATTCTGAATTCAAAACGTGTTGAGGTTTGTTTGGGGACCTTGTCGTAGACTGTGCACCTGTTCTGTTTATCAAAAAGTGTAGTTAGTTCTGCACAAGTCTACACCATTATAATCAAATGACATATGCGGATAGTCTAGCTGCTTAAACCTCATACTTTGAAAAATGACTGGAGAGTTCAGTATATATATATATATATATATGTATGTGTGTGTGTGTGTTTGTGTGTGTGTGTGTGTATTGCGCAGTGTTACATTAGAAAATGCACATACCCACAACAAAACTGTATATCTTCTTTCAACGTTAAATTTTTTTAACATTTCATCAGGAGGGAAATCACGATGCTACTAAATTTCCCACATGACGAAACGTTCGAAAAATTTTAACGTTGAAACAAGATGTCCAGTTTTGTAGTGGGTATGTGCATGTTCTAATGTAAAACTGCATAATAAATAAATATTTATTGTTCTAATTTTGTATTGAACCTATGTTTTGAACGCTGAAATCTGACTCATCGTTGTTTTTTTTACATTTGTATATATATATATATATATATATATATATATATATATATATATATATATATATATATATATATATATATATATATACTTACATTAGTGATGTTTTCTGTCTGTTGGATTTTAATTCAGTTCATCGAAACTAGAGAGTGATTTTATGTATACACTTACAAATACTTTTATATGCATACACACCCACCCAGGTATACACATATATTAGAGCTTTTTTCTATTGCTTGTAAATACATGTACATATATAAATGCCCACTGATATATATTTGCATATATATATATATATATATATATATATATATATATATATATATATATATATATATATATATATATATATATATATATATATATAAGAAGAATA